CTAGAAGTGTGGGTTAAAAAACTGATAATTGAATGTGGTGAGCTGGTGGGAGAATAGAATTTCAAGATCTCAAACTCGGGGAATAACTTAGAAAATGGTTTCGAAATCTGTGTTTTTCTAAGCATACCATCCCCTTCCCCAATACAGCCACAGATTAGGAGCAGGTCTCCATGAGTAATCAAAACCGGCAAATGCAATTTTTTTTCCCCAGCCTCCTGAGCAAAAACTGCTGGCACATGGAAAGTGGGGAATTATTTTTCTCATTGTAAGGCTCATATATCATGGCAGCGATATTATTAAGTTAGTAAATAATTGATCCCAGATAAATAAGTGGGATTTGGAAGAATTGTACAACCCATCGCACCTCACCCAAGGGCACATTGCCCTGAGTTGCTCTATCCTGACTGCTCACAGGGGCTCGGCGATGTGTGAATTCCCCTAAATTCTGTCACCAATCAGAAGACACCAGCTTTGTTGAGGTTTAATCATGTTCAAATCTAGGATGTGCCCAAACATGACAGAGGCATTGTTTTCTCTCCCTCCGCTCTCCGTATGTTAAAAGCATCTATTAAAATGTGTCTGGGATGGAAAGCAACCAACACACTGTCATTAATTTAAGGAAATAAAATTGCACCATATGAAGGGTTATCATAAGGAAGATGGTGACCAGCTGTTCTCCATCTCCTCTGGGGTAGAATAAGAGAAAGTGGGAGGGAGTTCAATTTGAAATTGGAGTGGGGACTTGACAGAAGGAAGGAAGCATCACCAATAATGCTACAAGACAGACAAACTGCAGAACTGTCTAGGTGGGCATAGGAGACTATTGTGGGTTGGGGAGGGAAGGATTCAGTCCATCCAAGGTACACGGAGGCTTTATGTCCTCTCTCTCTCCCGGGATGCCTATTGGCCCAGAGTTTAGGTAAAAAATTTCACCTAAGTTAGAAACAATAGAGGCATTTTTGTTTTAATATAGATCAAAGCCTTTCAATAAATGAATGAAACAGGAAATGGATTATCAGAGGTCTGATTTAGAAGCTCCTCACCATCTCAGGTAGCATCCGTTCCCAGACTTCATCTGATATTCTCATGGAAAAGGCCTCCTCCCCCCCCCCAGTTGAGGAACTTCTCATTGCCTTTCACCTTTTAATTTGGTTTCCATTCTAATGGAGAATCAATTAGAATTGAACATCCCTGAGAAGAAGGTAGAATCTGTTAATCAGTTTGTCATCAATGTGAAAAAAATATATATATCCAAGATAAACAACTCATCAGTAGGAAATAATATATTTGGTTCACCATTTCAGTGGTTTCAGTCTGTGGTCTCTTGGCCCCATGGCTTTGGATCTATGGTGAATGAAGCAGGACATCACGGTGGAACAGAATTTAGGACTTCCCTGGATTTTGGAAATGGGCAACGTGGATTGGAAATCCTGCTGTGAAGGAATCTTTAATTCCACCCCGGTCTGACACTAAATGATGAGAATTCTCATTTATACCAGCAAATTCCCAGATCCTATACCCTCGCTGGTACCCCCTCTTTTCCTCTTTAAAACATTCAGAGCTACCTTCTTCACCCCAATACGTTCTTAACTAATAACTTACATAAGCCAGTTACTTCCTCATATGAATTTAAATCACTTGTTATCTCTCTTCCAGTTGTGTTTATATATAAGCTGCAACTCTCTTTGGGGAACCAGAAGCCTGCTTCTCTGGCCAAGAAATTTCAAAATACCATCAAAGGAATAGGGAGATTTTTTTTTCTCTGGAAGAAAATTATCCAGGCCCTAAAATTGCCCAAAGAAAGAAGCAGGCTTCTCCGTGTTATAGTTGGATCCACAATGTCCCCCAACAGTCACGTTTAAAAGACTTGGTAACCAGCCTTATTGGGAGATAATGGGGCTAGGTGGATAGAAATTAGGTCACTGAGGTGGGTACGCTCTTGAAGGAGATATTGGGACCCCCATCCCCTTCTCTTTTTTTCTCTTTTTTCTTGGCCAACATGAAGTGAGGAGCTCTGCTTTACCACACACACCCCACCATGATGTTCTGCCTCACCGTGGATCGAAAACCATGGGGCCAGAGGCCATGGTCTGGTCCAACAGAACATGTGAACCAAAATAATTCTTTTCTACTAATGAGTGGTTTATCTTGGGTATTTTTTTTTTCACATCAATAGAAAGGTGACTAACACATCTTACCTTCTCTTCAGACATGTTCAATTCTAATTGATCCTCCATTGCAACAGAAACCCCATTAAAAACAAAAGGCAGAGTGAACATTCCTGCCGTGGGCAAGAAAAAAAAGGTTGACCTGTCACATGAGAGTATCAGATGAAGTCCTTAGAATTAATCACCACTGATGAAGCCAACAGTAGTCAAAGTCCTAAAAAAGGGACGTAAGACAAACATGAGAAAGTACATACTGTCAGTGGAGAAGGAACAAAATACCAGGGGCTTTCAGAGAGGGAAAGGGGGTTAGAGCTGATTGAATTTAGCAAGGATGCCTGAGAAAGATAGTATTTGGTGAATGCTAAGAAGACAGTTGGTAACAACTAGGTTAGAATTCAACAGAGCGCTCAACAGAGTACAGTGAGAAAGAAGCATTATAGGCCAGAGGAGCAACATGAAGGAAGGCGTGGAGTTGGGGGAGGTTGGCCCAGAGGAGAGCATTAGCTGAGCTGGTGCTTGGGGTTACCAGGGGAGCCATGGGCACTGAGGCTGCACAGCTGTGCCAGGGCCACACCTTCCATCATCCTGAATGTTCACCAGGAGGTGAAGTTCATGGTCACTCAGTAGACAAGGGGTGACTACTGAGATACCACCTAAGGGGTGACTAGTTTGATACCACATAATCCAAAAGACCACACCTGACTTTTTGCACCTATGATAGTTATTTCATTCTTTTACTCATCCTGAGAATCCTGGAGTCTCACCTTCACCTTGGAGCTCTGCCTTCATGACTGAGTAGCCCTTAAACTCCAAGTGACCACAGATCACCCTTTCTAGCCTTGCTCCTCCTCCAATTTTTCTTCTTCAAATGCATAAGTTCCTCATTTGGGTCTAGAACTGAAGCAGTCCTAATTGAAAAGAACAGAAGGAGAAAGGCTTTTGAATAATAATCCTTGGCATTCAGATCGCCTTTTTTCTTTAATTGAGGAACACTGCAGTTGAAAACCTGGCATTGCCCCCACGTTGAGGACTCTTAGGAGCCAATGACAGAAAGGGGTACACAATAAAGAACAGGGCGGGGGGCAAATTAACTCCATAGATAATGCACAAGACCTCGCAGTCTGTTTCCCCAACACCTTGAAGCAAGAGACCAAGCTCTCCTGTTTTTCCTGGCAACTCTAAAGCAAGCATGAACCCAGTCTCCCAATCAGGAGGAACACAGTAAGGGGCAGAGGGACAATTTGGTCCCCCTCCAAATCAAAGCAGCATTTATTTTGTTAAGTGTTGTAAAGTTGGTTGCTGATAATTTACTCCCCTGCTGACAATCTATGTTAAAGTTTCAGCCTCACTGGAAATGATTGTGATCTGAACCCTTTCAAAGCAAAGAAAGAAAAATGAAAGAAAGAAAACACACACAACCCCCACATAACTCCAGCTCTTTTAATAGACAAGTTGACAGAGTCCTTAACTAGCATCTCTCCGGGTCCCCACCATAATTACAGGCTGGAAAGGAGAGTTGTGTTTCATGTGATTAGAGACTGTTTGTGCTTCTGTCCATTAGGAACAAAGGGGAGGAAGCATTTTCAAGAACTTGATGCCAAACATTTTTCACTAGGGAATTTTACTCAATTACTTGCAAAATAATCTCAAAGATGGTCATTTCATCATTAAAATGTTCTTTTAAAATTTTACGAAAGCCTTGTTTGGAGTTGATTTTGATTGGTGGCACTTTGGAAATTATGAGCTTGATTTAACACCATCCTCCCCTAAAACCATACCAACCACGCCCCCTTCCTGACGGTGTTCCTCGGAATTGATTCCGGCTTTCACTTTCCCCTGTCCAGACGTTGATGAAGATATACAGCACACAACTCTTCAGCAATGCTCTCTTTCTCCTACATCAAGGGAATCCATCATCCTAGAGAGAGGGGGGAGAAAGCAAAACAAAACAAGAAAGCCCTCGGGAGGCGAAAAGAGAGGGGCCTGGGAGTTGAGGGGCACTGGCGGCTCACCAGCAGCCCTTTCAGAAAGGACTAGAATTAGTAAAGAGTTTTCTTCGCTGAAAGAAATCTTTTTATGCCTTGGTGTTGGAGATATGGCCAGGCCAATAGGGAATGGGAAACTGGAGAAAGAAACCTCTTTAACATACCCTTAAAACTCAAGTATCTGAGCCAGGAACTTTGCAGGAAAATTCATTCCTACCCTCTGCTGACCTCGTCCCACACTGGACCGTCAATGGGCCCAGCACTATCAAAGCCTCCATCTTGCATTTCAGTCTCCCCTTTAACAGCTAATCAAATTCTCCTCAGCCTGAAAAATGCAGTTCAGATCCTATTTCCCTCTTTAGCTCACTTTAGCCACTTTATCCTACCCCAGTCTCTTTTTATCTCTAAAATTTCTTTTCACTTATGACCACTACCACAAAGTCCAGCTTTTCCTTAGTCAACGTCTGTCCCTCTCTCATTCAGAACCCAGAGTTGTAGAGACTGTAAGACTCATGGCTCGTTACAGGGGTGTGTCAGAAAGAGGTGGGGTGAAGGGTGATGTGCTTCCCGCCCCCGGTAGAGGACAAGGGGGTGTGTTTCTCACCCTAGGGAAGGGACTCAAAGTTGTTACCTGAAGTAGGGAAGGGAGGCAGAGGAATGGACATGAGGCCGTGGGTCTTGCAAAGGATCTACTTAGTACTATGGGGCTGAAATATCAAAGAGTGAAAGAAGAGCCAGGCCCTGTGTGGGATGTGTGTGTGTGTGTGTGTGTGTGTGTGTGTGTGTGTGTGTGTGTGTTGGAAAAATGCAATCATGAAAAGTGTTCCTGAATTAAATTAACTCAGCATTTTCTGGGGTTGGGGAATGGGCATGGAGAGTGTGTGTGTGCGTGTAAAGAAAAGCACCTGTGAAATTCATGTTCTCCCTTGATATGGAAATTAGATGACCAGCACCATGGACGCCCAGGACAGGTCAGACAGAAAAGTCCTTCATTTTATAGCTACAGGAAAAAAAATATGAATTTTTCCTTTCTGGTGTCTTTACACATCTCTTCTCTTACTCTTCACGAAACACACACCTGCACATACATGCACACTTGCACTTTGTTGATTCTCTCCATGTTTTTTGCTCCTTCTCTCTAAATTGTCCCCACTGAGCCTACAATGCTCATTCCCTTCTTCCAACTCATTGAAATCCTAGGAAAGGTAGCAGAATACAACAATTACTAATTGGGCATTATGTAAAATTGTGGATGTGTAACCGACGTGATTCTGCAATCTGCATTTGGGGTAAAATTGGGAGTTCATAACCCACTTCAATCTAATGTATGAAATATGATATGTCAAGAGCTTTGTAATGTTGTGAACAACCAATAAAAAAAATTAAAAATTAAAAAAAAAAAAGAAATCCTATCAGGCGTTCAAGGTGGTGCTGCAATATTGTCACTGCCCTTGAACATTCCCTGTTGGCACTAGCAAAACCAGCACTGTCTCCTCTCTGAGCACCTGCTGCATGAAACTGTACCCTCTGTTTCCTAGCACCACACATGGAGTGTGGCAGGGTTGGGGCAATACACTGTGAGTGCTGTCACCATTGGACCCTAAGTTTCTGAAGGTCTAGGTGGGAGGGTTCTTTAAGCATAGAGCAGGTCCCAATCAAAGGTACTTGATCAGTTGAGTATTGGACCAAACCCAGGCAGTTATAATTGAACTTCTGCCTAAAATTGAACCCTAGAAGATATACGTAACTAAGAAATTGTATTTTTATTTCTCTTTGGTCAATGACACCTAGGACTTAGGAAGGCCCAGGAATGCTTTGGAGCTATCTTCCTTTTTTCCCAGCACCCAGCCTTGACTCTGCCCCAGACATTTGCTTGTATCTCTGCCTCTGGTAGAGAGCCACACCACCTCCATTCAGTACCAAACCAAGGACAAGGAACCTCCCACTGTCTTGGAGGTCTGTACTCTCAAGCACTCCCATCTGGACAAGGCCCTCATTTAACTGCAAATGGAATCAACAAACTATTCTTTTCTTATCCTTAGGCTTCTATTTTGTCCAGAAAAATAGGAAGTTTAGTATTTCTGAAGTTCTGAAAATTGCTTCTGTTCTTCCTTCCATATCGTTAACTGATTCTTTTCAAAGCAAATGCAATGGACCAACTGATGGGTGACGCTGGAAGCAAAGAAGGAGGGCATGATTGACTCAGCACCTTCTGGGTGATTGAAACCGTCTGTCTGGATGCTCTCAGTTCTGCTCCTGAGTCCAAATGAGTGCTAGGGCCTCAGGTGGCCATCACAGTGGGGGCCTGGAGGTTGAAGTCCCATTATTAGGGGTTGGCAGGCAAGAGAAAGTGATCTTAGGCAAGTCTGACCACAAACACAAACCACACATTCTGATTCCAGTATTAGCAATAAAAGCTGAGATTTTCACCTCTGTTTTATTCTTATGTCTATGTCTCCATTGATTCAGAACTCCTTGGGGACTTACAGAGTGCAAACATTATCAACCCAAAACCCCAACAATTAGTGCATTGATTGAGAAGCCATGAGTCAGGCACGAAGACTGGCATTGGGACATTTAAGTCCCTCAGGGAGAGGCTGATGCTGTCATGGGGTCCAGGCATCGGGTTCCCACAGGCCACATGGGATTCGACCTTTGTAGGACAGTCCAGCTTTTTGTACTTGTCCATGGGCAAGTAGCTGTTTTATGTTCAAGGTGCCAGGCTGTTTTTAAAAGGTTCAGGCCTGTTCTAACAGATGTTGGCCTTTGCAGGCACAAATCACACGGGTCTGAGAAAAAGGCTTGTGTTGCTCAGGCCTCTTACAACATTTCATCTCCGATAAATGGCAGTACTTAGAGGCCGAAAGGATGTGTCATACTGCAAGACTGAGGGGCTGTCCTGTGAGTTATGGTACATGTTTTATAATGATTATCTTTTTTATTTTTTTTAGTAGGAATCAGCATTGCAATTTAGTTTTTATTTTATTTCTTTATCATCATAATTTTCTGGGCTTTGTCTGCTATTTTATAGTGACTAAGCATACCATTTAAGTCTATTGGAATGCAACCAAGTGAGAAATGGACACCACCTAGAGATTGAAAGTGAATATCTGAAGTGGACTTTTTGACATTAACTCTAGATGCAAAAGCAGGTCATGTCATATTTTTTTCCTAATGGGAAGAGACTAAGTATGTGCCTCTGTATTTGACAATATGAATAATAACAATAGCAACCATACTCTAAGCACTCACATTCTGATCCATTCCAAGTGTATTTCTATGTATTTTTCCAAAACAATTCTTTGAGGTTGTTTCTGTCCTTATCCCCATTTTATGGATGAGGACACTCTGCATAAACAGTTCTAAATAACTTCCTTAAGGGCAGAATAAAACTGAGATGGTAGAACCAAGATCCAAATTCAGTCAGTCTGACTCCTGAGTCTACACACTTCACTAAGCTTTAAAAATAGCTGCTTAATTAGGCAGGGATGTTTCAGGGACTCTGTGAGTGAGAAGAGAAAGAAAGGAGGAGAATACACTAGACAGTTTGCAAGGCCTCCTTGCCCACTCCCCTGGCCACAACTGACTGAACCATGAGTGGACACATGGTACAAGACCCATGAACATAGAGGCTGGTGAGTATCCTATGACTAGGGTCTAACAGATAAGCTGCTCGATCAGATTCTTTCCAAGGATGTAAACTAAGATACACAAAGATGCTTGCCAATGCTGAGGGTGGATGTTGGAACTGGAAGACTTATAATTTTAGATACCATAGGAGGCATTTGGGATCATGTGGAAAATGAGTAGGCAGGAAAAAAAATGGCTGGCAGGAAAGAGAATAGAACAGAAATTTGGAGAAATTCTAAAATAAACTTGCAATATCTGGGGGAACACATCCTTTGATTTTTCTTAAGTTTTCTGGAGTTGTCTCCTTTTTCTTTTCAGCCCAAGTAATTCACCTGACAGTTTTGCAATTGGCTTTTTCTCTTAACTACGTGAGCACCAAATGTAATATCTGGAACACAGTGGGCACCCAATAAAAATGTTCTAACCTCCAAGAAATGATAAATATTTGACCCTATGGATATTCTGGCCTAATTTGATGTGCAATATATACATATATCAAAACACACATTGTATCCTATAAATATATAATTATTATTTTTCAGTTAAAAATAATGAAACTTTTAAAATATCCCGAGAGGAACCCAGCAATATTTTGATTTTTTTTTTCAACCTCTTTCAGTATGGAGAAGTTTTAGCATCACCAACATCTTTCTCTCCTCCCAAGAGATACTCAAGGCCACTTGACTAGACTTTCTCTGAGGGACTTCTATGAAATTGTTTCAGAAAACTTAACACTATCCTTCCACATTGAGCAAGTCTTCAAACAATGAATATAAGAGATCCTGTCACTTGCCCTTCCTCAGCAGGGTTCCTTGTTGAGAGCCACAGCCAAAGGGGCCCCAGCAAACTTCCAGCTGCCAGCAAACTTCCAGCTGCCGGCTGATGATTGGCTCACAGTGGCCCCAGCAACATCTAGCCGATTGGCTCCTCTGCGGTGATGTTCATTGGGCTGTTTCCCTGCCCTTCAGACTATGGAACTGCTCATTGGGGGACTTCTTTGGCTCCACCCATGTGACCCAGCCAATCAGCCTCAAGAGCAGGAGGATTGTGGGAGGTGGTGAGGTTGGTGTGGGTGAGAGGCTTGTGGAAGCCGGTGGTGGCAGTTGGGCTCTGAGGGTTTTTTCCCTGAGGAGCTGTTTTGTTTGGCGTTTGTAGTTAGTTTCTTTTGACAAGTGGCTCCTGAATTGTGCCCAGCCAGACTTCGGCAGTTCCTGTGATGACCTGGAGTCCCTCTGTCAGGAAGGGGCTGGCCCTTGCTATTCAGCAATGTTTTCTTTGGGAAGGACAACATAGAGAATAGGAAGCCAAGGATCATGACCTTGAGACTTCTTCAAGTAGCATTTCTCCCTTAGACCATCATCACCCACTCCTGCATATGCAGGAAAGAGAATAGAACAGAAATGTCTGCATATGCAACTTATGATTAGGGGTCTTCTATCCCCATGCCTGCCCCCACAGTCACATCTAGGGGAAGTAAATGAGAGCTTGCCTCTTCTAATCACAATCTGAATCTCTTCTTAATGCATTTAAGGCATTACCTAACTTCCTGCCCTTCTTTCATTAATTCCTTGCAGTGGATGTATCACTACACCATTTCCAAAAAAGGGACATGAGACTGAAGGAAGCTTTGTTAAGGAGCTAGCCCAATATCCCCATTAGGGACTTGTAGGGCTCACACTCAACTTCCGACTTAGCCCTTCTCAAAATAGAGCTTCTCCCCACTTCCCTGCACCTGACTCAGGTAAGAATGTGTGGTCCCTGTGACGATAAGGTTTGCTGGGAGATATGATATCCTTTGGGGGTGTAGGGGCAGGGTAGGGACTGGCTCCACTTGAGAGCTAGGAAGATTGAGAAAATTCAAATTACTTTTCCCAAGCAAGCAAAAAAAAAAAAAAAAAAAAAAAACGTCCTAGGCCAAAGGATGACTGAGACTTGAAGATGCCCAGTTCCCAAACAGACTAGTCTTCCTGAGTTCTGGACAAGAGGCAAGGCACTGCCTGTTAGTTATCCAGGGCACACCAGATCGTTACAAGGGGCATGAGCGCTCCTAAACCATTGCACTAGATGTTAAATGAAGCAATTAAAGATGAAGGGGACATTTTAATTACCAGGCTTGGCCAGCTCCAAAAGGGCCCAAGTTTCAAGTGAGTGGAAAACTTAATTATGCTTAACAAGAGAGTCACCTGGCATCATGAGGCTGATTATCTGGAAGTTCAGGTAGGGTAAAAGGAAGGCCAAGGAATAAAACAAAGGAGAAAAGAGATGTCACATGCCAAAAATTCATAAGACAGCAGGGAAATGCAAGAGATCCCATAATATCCCAAAGTGGGGGATGAAGCTGCCTCTCCAGGGAAAAGAGGTAAATGAGTCCCATTAGTGTTAGACATTCCCTCTTCTCTTCCCTCTAATGGATATATGATTTTCATTGTTTCATATTCAAATATGTCATGAACTTTTTACCTTTCTGTCTTTCCCAAGGTAGGATTTCCATTTTCTTCTATCGCCAGCATCAGCCAGGGAGGTGCTATAGCAATGCTGGCATCAAACTGTCCCAGCTGGGGCCTTCCAAATTGGTCTTACCCAGAGGCACCCTGGAGAAAAGAGAAAGCATGACTGGTATTAGGGATACCACGAATCATTTTTTATTATTTAGCAATGCTTTTTAATAATAATCACGGAAATTTCAGTTAATAGAGAACAAAAGAATTTTCTTTTTACTCTCTTCCTCGTCTATTTTAATATAAGTTGGAATCCAAAAGCAAACTTTGAAGACCTTTACACTTGTGAGAGAAGTGTCTAGAGAAGTTCAAGATTTCCCAGAGTTTAAGATTATCACTATTTTATGTACCATAAAACACTACCTATGAAGAGATCTTCTATGAAGAGATCTGTTTCCAAGCTGATACAGAAAATCAGTGAACCTCAGCCTCTGGTCAAGGGATTTACTGTCCTTCGATAGCCTTGTAACATGTTGGATTCCAATATTCTAATTGCTTAGCTCCAGAACTGAACCAGGTACCTAAATAGCTGGACTTTCCCCAGATAACATGTTTAATATCTTTGGGAGTTTGCCCAATTTCTAAAAATAAATGCACACATATATACAACACAATGAATTCCACTTTTATGTATAATTATAACACGCCAACTTAAAAAACATATAAATGGAAGCAAGAAAGACCAGTAACATAGAAAAAAAGGATGAGATCAGGGGGAAAGAAGAGGGGAATATAAAAGGGGATATACTAGGGAAGGAAATGGAGTAAATTATGTTTTGTACAGGTATGAATATGTCACAATGACCTGACTATTACGTATAATTACAATACACTAATAAAATATAAATAAATAAATAGTCCAATTCATCCTAGATGGATGTGTTTCACTTATTTGACTCTTGGGCTGACATATATGGGCCTGTGAGCTCAAATCTAGGTGTGTCTGGACACACAGACAAGAGCTGTTCACTTACCCATCATCTTCATTCTCCTCATTTTCATGGGGCCAGCTAAGATCACTGGATGCTACTGGGAGAACACAGGTAGAGAGTAGGATCTACAAACCCTTTGGTTTGCCCAGCAGGGAAAAGGCCCTTTCCTGACTACATGGCAGCAGCATCATGGGAAATGAGCTGACAGCGGAACAAGGAAGGAGTCAATAGTTGCTTCAGAAGAGCAGGCTAGCCCCTGAGCAATGGGCCTGCAGCTGGTGAGTAGACCCATCCCCCACTGCCAATGGGGAGAGAGATGCAATGCCTTTTAGCAAGATGCATTGTCTTCAGTTCCCAAAGCAAAGACCTGTTTGCAAGAATCTGTGTCACAAAATCGTGATCTGGAAAAGGTCCAGAGGTCAAGACGTCCATTCCCCGGCCCTCGTGATTTTAAATATCATCTAAAAGAAAGCATCTTTACATATGATTATGTACCTGGGAAGTGACACCTGGCATATTCCAAAATCTTCACAAAGAGAACTCTTTCTCAACACTTCTCATCTGACAGGCCCCATCCCACTTCTCCTACCTACCACCACTGGTATGCACAGCCCCTCTCAGGGTGCTTCTTCCCCTTTCCCACACTTATTATCATATTAATTTGTAAAAGCAGTCCTTCTACAAGCCCTGAGACAGCTGGGAAAGCTTTGTCTTGGTTTTGACAGATGAGGAGACTGAGGCAGAAAAAGAAACTGAGCAAGGAGCCCTAAGGACCACAGCGTGCTGGCTGCAGCCTACCTGAGCCGTCCAACTTCCTTTCTCCATGGAGCAGAAGAATGGGTATTCTCTTTCCCTTCACCTCTGTCATTAAACCAAACTGTCATCCCTTCAGTAGAAATAACATTTGTTTAGAAAGAAAAGGGGAAACTCTTCATGTGGTGCAGCTTCCCTTTGAGTTGCCCTGACAGGAACAGCACCGGGCCCACGTGTGCCCCCTGGCTCTCTTTGTAGTATGTGCCATTCATCAACGCCTGCCTTCCGGGGCAGCTAAGCGGAGGACTGGAAAGAAGAAAAAAAACCATGATACCAGCTTCCAAAAACACAGTGGTGTTTTCCTCTTTTCTTTTCCTTTTTATTTAAAACTCCAAAATGTAAAGTGCAGGCCGCAGTTAATCAGAGGGCTACTGCTTTCCATTTCAAAGCTTCTTTAATCTGAGGAGACATTTCACAAACACCTCTTCTCTGGGCATCCCCTCTCCCATCCCATTAATAATATACAAATGCTGCCTTACATTGGAAGAGTTGGAAGAAACTGGAGTGATGTGTACAGATTCACTCAGTCATCCTCCCAGGTCTGAATTTAGGCTCATCGCCCCAGCAATCAGAAAAGCATCCTCCTTTTGAAATGTACTCTGTGGGCCCACTTGGCTTCAAGAAAGCCCACCATAGGAGGCACTTAGCAAATTCTACGCTTGACAAAAAGTTTTGGGAAGAAAAGAGCTGCTAAAGGAAGCCTGCACTGGGACCGGGGAATCCTGGGTTCAAGTCCACTCAGAGCTCATTCATGCATGCATACATTCATTTCCCCATAAAGGAGCACATGCTACATCCCAGGTCCTCTGCTAAAGGTCAAGGTCAGAAGGGGAATAAAACACAGAGTCCCTCAAGCCTTCCAGGCCCAGCTCAGCCACTGATCAGCTATGTCCTTGAGTTAGTTGCTAGAGCAGTGTGGGTCTCAGATCTCCCTTTTGAAAAAGAAAAATAATAGCCAGTTTCTATCTTGCTTGCAGAGCGAAGAGGTAGTAAACCTGTACATGTAAGTGTTTCTTTACAGATCATTAACCACTATGGGGAATGGAGGGTCAGAAGAATAATAGAATTTTTGAGCTAGAAGGAACTAAAGAAATCAACTATTCCAACCTTTTTTATATAAGAAGAGTCTCTTAGAACTAAAATGTTAGGAGACTGTCAAAAATCGACCAGAAATGAAAACAAAACATCTCTGAAATAATAATATAAGGCAGAAGATTAGGTTGGGCAATTGATATCAGTTTGGGAGAGGTGCGCCCAGAATAGCCACCAAGAAACTTAGGTTCTCGCTCTGGATTTTTCAATAACCAGTTCAGTCCATGTATGAATAATATCTGGTAAGCCCCAGTTCCGTTGGTCACCTCACAAATGAGAATTATGTGCTGCAGTTTGGCTGCAGCAAAATAACCAGGGCGGCAGGGGCGGGGGGTGACGAACAACTTGTGTAGATTGATACAGCAGGAGTGGGAGCCATTTTTTGTAGGACAGGAGGGGTATATATGCATTGCACACAGCTTATCTTAATTAACATAAACTAGATACAGCAGTCAACCAATAAGGAATCTCCACACTTAATAGCTCGCTGGCGTTACTTCACAAACCACTCCCTCTGGCAAAATGCCAGGCGCCATCCTGACTTGTTTACAGACTCTTAACAATTATGGAAGACCAAACACAGTGCAATCGGAGGACTGTGAGCTCTGAAGTCCTGTAGACGTGGGTTTGAGCTCTTCTCTAGCACACTTGAGCTGAGTGAGTTAACGAAAAGCAACTCTGAGCCTCAGTTTCTACTTCTGTGAATTGGGCCCTAACAGGGTTGCTAGGATTAAGTATGGCAAAGCTTATAGAGCACTGAGAACATGGTGAGTACTTTTAATAAATGTTAATTCCCGCCCTTCCTAAATGACCCCTTCTAGCATTAAAATTTTATGACTATGAAATTTCTCCTTAAAAATCTAATCTTATGTAAGTATTGGCTTTACTGCTGTCTTGCCCTACAAGATACGGCAAGCCAGTCCCACGGCTTCTAGTAGAAGGCAGAATGCTAGAAGTGTAATAGCTCACCCAAGGTCACGGTAGGTTAGGCACAGAGAGGGGTGGGTGTTAAACAGGTAACCGCTTCTGGAGGCATTTCTCCCAGCAGCTATCTGTGGCTGAGAGGGGACCCCCTTACTTCCCATCAGTCACTTCACCACAAACTCAAGAAGCTTATAAGAACAGCAGAAAGAAGAGAGAACTCGTGTTTTAGGGTGCTGATGTTAACTACTGACTCTTCACTGAATCTCAATAATCCCATAGGTAGTAAATATCCGCGTTTTATAGATGAGAAAATGGAAGAACAAAGGGGTAAAGGAATTGGCCCAATATCCCCAAGATGGTGCGTGATGAAGCCAAGTCCATCCAGGTACAACGATGTGCTCTGACCTTGCATCATGTGTCCTTGGGGTCCTCACCACGGTACACCCAAGTGGAATAAATCTCTACCATTGGCAGACATCCCTGTGCCACCCAAAGAGTTGAGTCTCTAGGGCCATGAAAGGAACTCTCACTTCTATTCCATAATCTCAGTCACAAGCTTTGATATGAAAGCCAAAAAAAGACTATTTTCCAGCCTGAAATGTACTTATACCTTCCTCCTACGCACTTACTTCCCCAGAGCCAAAGGAAAAGCCAAAGAGAGCTTCTGGGGACAAAAGTCATCATCTCTGACCATCCCTGGGGAAACAGGCCTGTGATTTGCTAGACCTGGAGAGTCCCAGGACTTGGCAACACATGGCATGCTTTTAGGGTAAAGCCAGCAGCTGATGATAAATGAAAAAAGACTTTTCAAACAGTCTGAATGTAAATGAGAAAAGAAGCCCCTGGTTAGGGAAGTTATTCTAGCAAGTGGCTATATAAATGTCTTTATATTGTTATTTCCAATATTAGTTTGTTGTTCCTCCATGAAAGCTGATTTATTTGAAATGTTATTACTAGAAACACCCTAATCTTTTGGTAATAATTCATATACTGGAAGATTACAGTTTTGGAAGGCAGCCCAGTGCTGTCTGGAATCCTATTTATGGATTAAAGGATTTGAACAGCATTGCAAGCAAGATCTCTAAAGAGTAGGATAATGTAAACCTGGTTCCATATAAAATGCTTTACCCCAGCTATAGTAACCCCATTAAAGTCAGATTGTTAGAGGACACTGGGCACGAGGACTTTCATTACACTAAACCAGGATATCACTGCCCCTGAAGAGTAAGGATTTTTCAAGCTCAATTGCCCCTTGTTTTGACAGACTATCCTTAACTTTTGTGTTTCCCCCTTTCTGCTAGGACAGGCCAGCCTCAAATGATAGGTCTTGACTTTTTGAAAGGCTAGATCCAGGTGAAAGAAAGAAAAAAAATTATTTGTTACAGTAAAGGCAATAGTTAAGCCAATGTGGTCCATGCATAGAACTAGGACAATATGTCCTAAGTGCTTTTTGTTCTTGGAAATCTGCATTAGGATTGATCCCTACTATGCCCAAAGTGGCTGTCTAGTGAGTAGTCCAGGCTTGACATTGGATAAAGCCAGAGAAAGCTATATAAATATGGCAAGAAAGGGTAAGCATCCTGAGGTCCACAGTGAGGGCAAAGTACTAAAAAGACCCTGGAAGAGCTAGTGAGACAAGAGTCCTGGCATGCTCTGCTCTTTAGGACTCTAGAGGAGCCTGACACTCTGACAAGTAGCAGAAAGCCTGGCATGTTAAACTCAGCATCACCTGTCCACTATTTATTGACTGCTATGCCATGGGCTGGTCATTTTCCTTCTTTGAACCTTAATGTCATCATCTTTAAAGAGACACCATCTGCTTGCAAGACTGTTATGAGAATTTAATGAGATCATATCTAATACACAGAGATGGGTCAAGGAATGGCAAGAGCACCCATCAGCATTATCAACACTGTCACCATATGGGAAGATGGTCACTAGTTTCTAAAGAAAAGGCTTTTCCTGTGTGCTTGACTTTTCTGTCACATACTCCTACAGGTTGCCCAACCAAGAGAGCCATTAGAAGTGGCTGGGGCTCAGTGGAGGAACAGACACAGCGGGAGGGAGAGAGGAGAGAGATGATGAACCAATGTCACATTCCCCTTCAGCACAGCCACTGCCTATTAACATAGAGTCATCAAGCACTTCATGAACATCATCTGCCACATAAATAATGGATCATAATTCTAATTATACCATCATCTAAAACTTGTCTCAGGAAGTCTTTATATATTTTTTTTCTCCAACTTATTTCGGTCACCTCAACCAGATCCTATTTTATTTTATGCCTTTATGACTTCTTGCTTCTGTTCAATGATTCAAGTCTGGGTCTAACTCTAGTAATAGTAGAGCAGGGAAGATTTCTTCTCAGGCATATATATATGTTTGTGTGTGTGTGTGTGTGTGTGTGTGTGTGTGT